TATATATATATATATATATATATATATATATATATATATATATATATATATTATATATATATATATATATATATATATATATATATATATATATCTATTGGCAGTCTATCGTTACTGTCAAAGTTTTGCAATATTTTTCCTTTCGCTTTTCATTGATTCGCAACAGTATGATAAATATTTGCCAAATTCACTTCGTGCACCTTCCCCAAATTACTCGGAAATGATTTCTTTTTGTAACTTCCATTTCAAAAACATCTATTGCAAGCAATAAGAATTCAAAAGAAAATTAACAATTCAATTTAAAAAAGTTTGGGAATGTTTGACAAAATTTATATAAATCTAAAATAACCAAACAAACATAACTCTACCCTTATCTAGAAATTATTTTCATCATTATGTGGGTAATGTTTCAAACAACAGAGGCAGAGTTCCCTAATATCATTATGACAAATGAATAATGAACGAGGACGAAGTAATTGTACAAAAAATGAAACCCGAATTAACACAAGGTTTACATATTGGATTGAGGTAGACGAATAAACATATCAAAGCATTGCATAGATTTTTTGTAATGATATGATGAGGAGCAGAATAATTCTGATTAGGGTAATTAATTTTCAAAAATTCCTTAACAATTTGAATTCATTTTATCAGAAAAAAAAATTTGACAATTTCAAGTAATACTGGTATGAATCAGATTTACAAAACCTATTCAGTTTAAGCTGTAGAGAATGCGATTGGGACAGAATTGCGGAAGAGCACTTGTAATCATTTCCTTGCTGAGAATCATCAAATTAATTCCATTTTGTTCACTCGAAATCCTTTTAGGAACGTTGCTGTATTTGGTGCTATTCCGAAAAATCTTTGGCAAGTGGCTTTTTTCAATACATTCAACTACATTTCGTGCTCCATCCTCCTGAAACAAATCCTTTCTTCCTTTAACATTTCAAGGCTGTTTTTTCGTTTTTTTTTGTTTTTTTTTTTCGAATCTTTTTTTTGTTTTTTTTTCGAAATTTTGTTGTCGTTCAGAGTTAGAAAAGCATATGAGTGAAAACTTAAAAGTAAAATCAAAAAATTACTTGGAAATCAAAATACAGTTCGAATTCGCTATCAAATTCATTTGGATCGTAAAATTTTTTAACAAGGACTTAAAGTTGTTCATTTAAAATTAATAAACGTACAATTCGAGAAAGAAATCGGGATGCATGCATAGTCTTCAAAATTTTTCGCATCCTTGGCGAAATGTTGCTACTAAGCGATGTATTTACAGCACCAGGATGGACAGCAATTGCTTGGATTCCTTTGATACGATCAAGGTAACAAGTCAACATTGCTGTTGCTAATTTTGACCTGCACAATAAGTAACATGTATAATAGATCCAGCTGGCTTAGTCATTTCGCAACTTTTTTTTTATATTTGAAAAAATATTGCATCACTCATATAAATTATGGCGGTCGAATAAAAAATTTGGCGACCTGGCATAGCTGAGCCAACCAGAAGTACCATTCGACGGCGAAAACATTTTCTGCAGGCGATCACGCCTCGAAGATATTTTCGGACACAGGAATCTAAATTAAAGATAAATTGAATTAATGAATTCCAATCGAAAAAAAGTTTTGTAGCATGTTCCAAACAGTTTATCCCTGCGAATAAGACGATTCATTTCAGAAAAACTCTTTCGAATTTTAATTTATAATTCATTTAAATGAAAGGATCGAATATTTTCGCAAACTATATTTAGTTTGCAATCCAAGAAAATTTGTGGTGTTTGAAAATGGATCTGTTCCCACAGAAAAAAATAGATAAGATTCGGATGCCCTTTTTTGACGGTAAATCCGGTATGAATACAACGAAGATACGGCAAATTCGAGTTCACCATGAATAACGCTTCCTGTTTTGGTTGCACTGTATTATTTGTTTGCACTTTATTCACTGGATGAATGTCGATAAAATAAATCGACCCACTTTTGATTCAAAGTGGGCGGATAGCATTTTCTATGCGTTCCCAGTATAATACATATATTTTTGGAATATTTAACAATTTCAGTGGTATCTTCAAAAAGAGAGCTGTCTACGATTCAACTAGCGAGTGGATTGAATGAATGACTTGTACCGTAATCCCCTTTCAGTATACCTGTGCTCAACAGTTCTCGCAAACCGTTTTTACAGATTCCCTGAACACTTAATCAGAAACAGTGAACGGTCCTGAACGGGGTTAAGGAGATTTGTAAAGAAAAAACAGTCGTTTTCTCTCCCTCTCTTTCTCTACCTTCTTAGTTCGGTCTTTGCTCTTTTTCTCCGAATTCCCAAAACTGATAATTAGCTAGGATGAAATCACGATCAGAAAAGAGCAAGCATCAAGATAGTTTTAATGCTTGCATTTCTTTTATTCTGATAATCTTGGCTTATATTTCCTTCATATTTCAACATTTTTGTTCCCTTTCCCACTCTGTTCCTTCGATGAAGTATGCACAAATTACTTGTACAAAATGGACGTAAGTGCAATAATTTTAACTCCTTCTTTCGGCGTTGCAACACCCAACAATTCGTTCAGCAGGTAGAACTGTGACAAGTAGTTCACCTGTAATTTGCATCTAATTAGATTCGATAAAAATTTGCAACTATAGTGCACTGTATGCATGTCCTTGGTGAAAGATTTGTATAATAACCTGTGATAAAAAAATTAAAATTCTCCAATTGGATAGGCAGTAAATAAACAGGTTGATACTTGGTAAAAGTGTTATTGCACCTTGACAGTATAAGATTTCATTTTAAATATAACCTATTTTAAAAGGAATAAATTAGCATAAGAATGATTCATGAATTAATAAGAAAGTTGTGAAGTAATAGGAACACCATACCTGGAATGTGGTATCAAATCCATCCTTTGTTTTGCGTATTTTTGGTAGTAACACACCAGCATTTAAAATGATTATATCATAGCATCTGTAACAATTCATCATCATTGAACCATCAAGTGTCAGTAATACTTGAAAGCATCTTGCAATAGAAGGAAATTTTTTTCTTTTCTACTTGACAAAATAATCTGATTTCCTTTTAAGAGTGAGTCAATAATTGTTTGACAGAGAATGATGAAGTATTTACTGCACTCATTTTATGGTTCAGTATGCCGTAGTGTATATTTTTAGGATAATAAAAAAAATTGCTTTACCAATAGGCGGATTAAACAGTTTCGATGTTTTGGTAGTTAATCATATCAAGCATAAAGTTGCATCACAGTAACTCTATTGTAAACGGATAGGATTCTAAGAAAACGAATCAACATGGATTAGAAATAAAAATCATTCTGCTTATTACTAAATTTAAAGTGGCTTTCACAGATTTCTTAGGCAAATTTTACATTTCTTTCTGTGATTAGCATAAATACTGCACTTAGTTTCATCATTGGAAAAGATGTAAAATTCGAAGAGATTGTGCAAACTTGAAACATTGAAAAGTTGAAAATTTCCCATCTCCTATTCTACAACACAGAGAAACGTGAAATGTTCACCTCTTCTCGGCAGCAATCACACTAACACTCTTTGAAACTGATGACAGTGCACTCAAATCAATGATAATGAAATCAATGGATACGCTATCGCCCTGAAAAATATTTGAAACTTTTCAGGATTATGACACAAAACATCGCACTGCAAGTACTTTCCTTGATTCTCTTTTACTGGTAGAAATACAAATAATTATAATAATGGTACGGTACAGGAAACAAAACTTTACCCAATTCATACGATTTTGTTTTTAATTCTTCACCCCAGTATCTTCTTTCAAACGATTTAAAAGCAAAAATTTATTTTAAAAAAAAGTTCGAAAATATTAGACTTCGTTGTAAAATTACTTTCTGCAATAACGTTTCAGTTTATTATTAAAATTGAACAATCTTCGGTAAAAGTGAAGTAAAAATAACAAGGTAAAATCACAAACCAATTGTTTAATGATGGATGCACAGGCATTTTTCGCCTTATCACTGTTACGACAGGCAATGGTAACGCTGTACCCTTTGGCACAAAGTTGCAGTGCAGTATGATAACCTAAACATATATTTCATTCTAACCAATCTGTATGATATTACTCATTTTTTCCCACAATTCAATTGCCTGATGGATTAAAATAAACGGTTAAACAGCTGATAAGGAGATTAATAACCAGATCACCGACAGGACAAGCTATGCACTCCATGCCTGAACAGTTCTGGTATTTTGAATTTAATATTATTATACTCTTCGACTGGAGCATCTTTGTTCATTATTGGCAAGACTTTCACATAATTTATTATCAATTTATCATCTTAACAGATAACTGATCCTTTACGAATTGATCGCTATCGATGCCTAAGCAGATAACTATTGGTCATAAGTTATTAAAAATCTTTTGAACATCCACACTCGATGCTTTCGACGCCATCGAGATGTGATTTTAAACTGGTTATATTACAACCCTATACTATTTTCTTGCGCAAGGCTTACATAATGAACGTAAAAAAAAGTACGGAGCTTACATTTCAGGGAAATGAATAGGTTAAAAAAAAATTGATAATTTATGTCCATATAAGATTTTTAGCCTGAATTTTATCACAGAAATGACAATAAAATGTGGCAAACCTATTCCCTGATTTGCTCCAGTGATGAGAACAGACTGTTGTCGGTGATGATTGCTTGCCATTTGAAATATATCTTGAGTGAATTGTACAGTTTACTTCTAAACACCGTAATGAATATGCATGATTTTCATTTGTGCATAAATAAATAAATAAATAGGCAAATAAAAAATAAATAAATAAATGTATATATATATATATATATGTATATATATATATATATATAATGTATATATATTCTATCGATCAACTACATATATCAGACAGTTGAGAGGCTGCTCCGCCCTTCAACGTTCAAATAATAGTCTGGTCGAGAGACGTTTTCTGGTAAAATATATTCAGGTAGGAATTTTACTTCGTCATCCTTTTCGTTTCAATCAAATTCTTTACGCATATATTCTCCTTCATCTCCCACCATTTTTCATGCTGCATTGCATCTATAAACCTGATTTGCAACATCAGGCCTCCTGCTACAACAATTCTGTACAACATTCCCGCTGTTTCTACTCATTTAACATGTTTTCAATGTCTCATTAATTCGATAATAGCTACACTTAAAACTGTTTAAAAATGAGAAGGAAAGATAAACACTGCTTACTACGATGCAACAGAATTTCCAACCTCTCCTAATTAGGACTGCTATAATGGCACTGGTGTCGTGAGAAAATAAAAGAAAGGGAGTTAAGAAGGTGAGGGAGATTGTTATTGTTCGTTGTAGAAGCTGTTATAATTTTAAAGGAATGACTTACAGTGTATCGGTTCGTTTTGTGCTCGCAACAGATTATCCTTTATTATCGTTTGGATACCAAATACAGTAAAGACAGGTTCAAATAATTCCAATTACAATCGAATGACTTCCAGGGTAAAGCCAGTAGAATGATGAGATTTTGTAAGGATTAGTAGATTGAAGAGTGTTTGCGTGAACTTGAGTGTGCGACAGATGGGATTTTTGCAACAATGAATAATTCTTAGGTTTTCTTATGTTTATATAAGGAGTGTGTAAGGAGAAAGGAAAGAAATACGGTGCTTAACAGATATTTAGAGATAAACATGTTGGATATAAACATGTTTATAAGATTGGATATTTCTACAGTATGCCCATCCATGTTTATAAGATTCATTGTCATCCAGATGTGCGCAAATCTCAACATCAGATAAAGCTTCTTAGATGATTTAAAGATTAGATAATTGACTTATG